GGAGTGCAGTTCATTTCCAAAACGTTAAAGTAATTTTGCCAGAGATACTGATTTTGACTGAAAACATCCTTAAGTCAAAATTCAAATCCTGCATTTGGAACCAATTTATTTAATTGCTGAATTGCTTAGTTTTTTCCAATTTTACATTGGCCTTATTTATAAAAACATTTATTAGAGATGCCCTTCATTCTTGTAAGCTCCGGGTTGATATGCAAATGCAATTTAAACATGAAGTAAATGTCACTTTTAAAAAATCTGAACCATTCTGGGAACAAATTTCCTGAATATGAGTAAATGAAATAGGAATACAAAGCTTCTACCTATTTTGCTTATAGTTCAGAAGAACTTTTTGCATCTATTCAGTGATAAATAATGCTGGAATTATTTGGAGACTTGCTGCAGGAATTGACATAGTTCACAGCTTTAAAAACTTAATATACAGAGTATACAGTAGGTAGTCATAGACTTGCAACCATTTGTTAAGAGACCATTAAAGTTACAACAGCACTGAAAAAGTTACTTATGACCATTTTTCACACTTATGTTGGGTGCAGCTGAATAGAGATTCAGTTGTGAATCAGTTGTGCTGAATAGAGGTTGACCTAGGCCTGTGGCCTGATTTACATACAGATGGTCCTTAATTAACAACCATTTACTCAGTAACCATTCAAAGCAAATTTTAAAATAACTTTATTAAGTTTTTTGAAAGTAAAAAATAAGTAAGAAGCCATAGCGTTTGGAGATTTGGAAAATACTGTTTCAAATCTCCATATAATCATGAAGCCCAGTCAATTATTTGGACTTATCACTGCTTCTCTCCACATCTCAGATAAGGTCTCTTTGAAAGAATTTCTAGAAAAAAACCCGGATGTGTATGTAATATTAAATAAACCATACTTTATAAAGACTGGGTTCACATAATATGCAAAAGATATTGTGGATCAGTGAAGTATGCCAGACAGGTCTCTGAACTTTCCTTTCTCTTCTGCTTGTCAGACATAAACGGTATTTTTCTTTGTGTCTCATTAAAAAATATGGCCTTTGTTTACACTCTTCTATTTCAAGTTAGTTATGACTCTGAACAAGGTTTTTGATGGTATGAAAGTCTGCTTAAATTATAGAGGAAATGCTTATGAGAAGTTTATGTCTGTGTATAATCTATAATCTGACAATTGGGAGTTAGAAATATGTGATTTTTGGCTGAGTTAAAAGCATTCATAAGCTCCCTTATCCCTGCAGTTGTTAATTAAAAGGTTATACTGATATATGAATTTGCAAATGTTTTTTATCAACTGCTTCAAAAGATGATGTGAAAATCTACTTTCCAATAACTAGTAGTTTAAAGGACAATGAATCTTGGTTAAATAAATATATGGAGGCTAGATCTATCTAACAATGATGTTTGGAAACTGTGTCTTGAAATAATAGGTAGAGTGTTGGTTATCTTCAGTCTGAAGAAGCTATTTGGATAAGCAACAAAAGATTTCAAACGAAAAGAAAAAGAAGTCCAGTTACCATGACTCAACTTCTGAAGGCAAGTAGGGATGTAGTAAGGACAATCTCATGATTGTCCTTATTTTGGACAAAGATCAGTATAGATAAAAGAACAGTTAGCAAACAAAGTAAAAGAGGTAGACTATACCTAAGACTTAGATTAAAAGTATATTGTAACTATTGTTACCACTGTAAGATAATTTTCTATGGTATTATTATTTATTTCGCCAAGTGTGGTTAGACATGCAAGGAATTCTGTATAGAAACACTCAGACAAATTCCTTGTATTTCTATCCATACTTGGCCAAATAAATAAATAAATAATTAATAAATAAATAATAGAACCCTATCTTAGAGTGGTAACAATAGTGACAATATACTTTTAATCTATGCCATGTTCTAGGATCAGAAAACAATGTTATTCATCTAAAAGTAAGACATAAAGCTAAAATTCTTAGGGCAGGAGTATCAAACTCTATTTCATTGAGAGCTGCATCAGAGTTGTGTTTCACTTTGGGGGGCCAGAGTGGGCATGGCTAGGGTGCATGTGGCCAGATCAACATCACTCGTGTCGGGAGTGCCTGTGGTGGTATGAGCGCTCTGCCAGAGAAAACAGGGTCCCAACGGTCTCCTATAACCTTCTGCCAGCAAAAACGGAACTTGGGAGGGCTGCCATTTTCAGCTCCTACAGCCTCCTACAACCCTCTGCCAGCAAAAATGGAGCTTGCAGCCCTCCCGAACTCAGTTTCACTGGCAGAAGCATCGCGGGCCAGTCCTTTGCTGCTTCCAGGACAGCCCCATGGGCCAGATCTAAGCACCCCGTGGACCAGATCCAGACTCTGGGCCTTGAGTTTGACACCCCTGTCTTAGGAGGTTAAAATAAATTAGAATGAAGTGACATATATCTATCTACAATACTTATTTAATATTGTTTAAAAGTTAAGCACAATTATACTAACTATAGAGTATTGAGGGATGGATACTATTCACCTTGAATCCTGTCTTACTAGCAGCATAACAGAATTTGGCTATATCCAGAGAGGTAGAAAATATCAGAACGACTTAGATATTTTACCAGATAAAGAGAAATAAAATGGATTATAATATCTGTATAAAAGCAGCAGTACAGTAAAATGTGAATAACAGATTTCATGGTGCCTGTAACACATGGCCATAATCAAGCAGCATATAGTATTGAATTTTTTTTTGTATCTACCTTTCAAAATGGTTGCTAGCATTAAAGCCCTTCTCATCTTGGATGTATAATATTGTTTAAGTAACTTGCCAGTTTAAACATATAAGATTGACCACTCAGGAAAGCATTCCTTGGCAGTAGAGCCTGGTTTTGTATTCCAGAATGTGTTAAAATTCCCCTGGCTTGTTCATGTCCCCAAGAAAGAAAAACCTCTTGTGAAAAGCCATAAAATTGCAATTTAGCAAGGAGATATCACTTCCATCTAAGCACTAAAAATTGTCTACAAATGTCAGGGAGGTCAAACCTATGGGGAAAAAATTAACTCCAGGCATTATGTGAAGAAAATAAACCAGTTTTTTTTCCTCAATCTTAATTGATCCCGTTTTGCAGTGGAGCATAGCATTAGAGACTGTGTGGTATTTAGAGGATATTTCTTAAGAATTTGGATTGTTCAGTTTCTAATTCTGAATAATTGTCATAAGGGTCTAGCTATGACCATACAAGAACTGGACACATATTTGGCTGTAAATAGCTGTAGGGGGAAAAAGAGGCTGAAACAAAAAAAGGCACCTCTTGGTCTGTAATAAATTTTAATTGCTAAAGATGAACTTTGGGGTAACAAGTTAAGTAATCTAGATACATGTTCTTCTGACCTAAGGCCTGGAAGACGATTCCAAGATATCTAAAAACTTCAGTTTATTCAATTTTGTGTCCATTTAGTTGTTATATATGGCTTCAAGGGTGCTTAGCAAATACTCATATTTTTATCTTTTCATATTTTATTGTTATGGTAATTTATCATCTGTGCAATAAGTAGCAAATGATCTTAGTGCACATTTTAAGCTAATTGGAGTCTAGAGAAATGGACCTGCATCATCCATATAAAGTAGCATTGGTATGTATCTATGTGCCAACTCTGGTAGAAAAAAAATCAGAAGTCTTCTGACAAGTCACTGGGGAATTTAAACATAGATTCAATAATGGCGGTGTCAAAATGCAGCCCCAATTCCCCACTAAGGGAACTGTTTTTTGAGATGGCCTTGTGAAGTAAATCAAGTTTGGTCACAATTTATATAACAGTAGTAATAGCCATTTATTGTGGATTTACTGAGTTTGCCCCACAGTTGACTCTAGATATTTATTGTAGAAAACTTCACTCTTAATTTAGGTCAAGGTCTACGACAAAAATGACAGTTGTTATTCTGATGGAGGATATTTGTCATAAACTGGATGACAGGAGGACACCCTTCTGCTCTTGGTAATTGCTCAACAGTACTTCGTACTATTGATCATGTTATTTTTGGGACCATCTGCAAGGGTTTGGAGTGAGTGATAGTATGTTTCAATGGTTTTGTTGCTTCTTGAGTGGACTGTTCTGCCTGGGGAATGGAGAGGTCTTATGGAACTCCTTTGCGGGATGCTGAAAGGTTTGATTTTCTTTCCGCTGATTTTAATGTCTACATGAAATTGCCGAGAGAGGTCAGCTGTTGTTTGAAATGTATTATCCTCAGTGCAATCACAATGTTCAGCTTTACATCTCTGGAGATACAATATAAAAATACTGTGAAAACCAAAGCTGTTGGGACCTGATAAGATAAAAGGCTAAGATTGAACCCTAGCACCACAGAGTAGTTTATCGGAGAGGTTGTTAGCTCCAGTTATAACTATGAATGGGATGGTATTTTTTCAGAAAGAGCAAGTTTGTGATTTGAAGGGTTCCTCCACCCCGCCTAATGGCCACTGCTAGATAGGCAGGCAGAGGCAATGGCCAGGGGAACCTTTGCCCAGCTTCAGTTATTGTGCCACCTGCAACTTACCTGGATTGCCAGCACTAGTGGGGCAGGCCAATCTCAGTTGGGATGAGATGGTCCTCAAGTAGCCTGGGCCCATACAATGAAGGGCATTATAAAGATGATTACTGACACCTTGAATTGCACCTTAAATCAAACTAGGAGCTAGTGCAGCTCGCAGAGCAGTGGTGTTACATGAGCCACCCTTGGGGCCCCCAAAACTGCCTACACTGCTGCACTCTGCACAGCTGTAGCTTCTGAACACTCTTCAAGAGTAGCCTTATGTAGAGTGTATTGCAATAGTTCAAAGCTTTTTGTCATTTGCATTTCACCTGTAATAGAAATGCAAAATGTTTATGAAAAATATGGAATATAAAACATGGAACTTAAATCTATATTTTAAATAATCAGCTCACTTCATAATGAGCAATTGGTTATTTTTTGGTATCTTCTGTCCTACTAAAAGTAATGCCATGACTGTTCCTCTTTAAATTTAATTTGACATGATTTTCTAATTACAGCTATTGTGGATGATGAACGGCTTTCAGCAGAGGAGATGGATGAGAGGAGACGTCAGAATATTGCTTATGAATACTTATGCCATCTAGAAGAAGCAAAAAGGTAATCATTTAAATGATATTGGGAAAGTTCAATTTTAGAGCTTTGAAAACATGTTGGATATTTGCAGTACATCTCATTTTACAGAAATGTTAAAACAGCTAATATTAACTAAAACATTGTGGCTCGGAAGCCAACATAAATAGATGCATTTCTGAGAAAATACCTAAAACATGTCAGTTTTTGGTTTGGCTTATCCCAAAGGGAGGATAGATGTCACCATATAAAGAAGGGGGCAATAAAGACCTGATTACTTTGGGTAATGGGAGAATGACAACAATCTTAGGGTAATCTAATTTAAGGCTGTCACTGCTATCCCCCTGGTCCCCTTGCACAGACACTAGAAATGAATTAGAACTAATAGTTTTTTGTCTACCCTCCTTCTCTTAGATAAGGAAATTATCTAAGAGAATTATTTTATAGGAGATTAAGATGGAGAAAAACTAAGTCTTTTAATTAAACAGTTCTTAATTTAATTATAGAGGTATACTTCAGTAATTGTATTCCTGACTTTCCCCCTTTTTAGAGTATATATATTTCAGAACACTATTCAAAAACTAATGGGACTCTCAGTCCAAGGAAAGTTCTACTTCTTAACCTCGTATTAAGTATTGCTTTTAATGTAGTTGTTGGTTTTCTTTTGATTTTTTTCAACTTTGGTCAAGATTTTAATGCCCTGGTTTTTTGAGATGTTGACCTCTATCGCTGAGTTTCAGCCAGTTACAGTGTGACGGTGATTTATTTATTTACATACTTATACTACAGCTGTGTTAAGTCATTCAGATGGGTACTATTATTTGTGGTGACTCTGTAAGTAAAATGCTGCTATTTGAAGCTCTGACTGTGTTATCCACTTGAAGGTTTGATCTGGCCATTTTGAAGGCCTTCCCAAGTTATATGTGTGTGGGCAAAGAAGTGGGCAGAGTGTGTGGGCAAAGAAGACACTTTGATCAGGATTGCCACTGAATAAATGGTGCTGCTATAAATAAAAGATTCTTGTGAATGATTTGCCCTGCTTTGTTGTTTGCCATAGAGCTATGGTAGGCACAGAATTTTAATTGATAATTAGGGCTGTGCTCTGGCTTATAAAATCTGGACCTGGAGCATGATGTAGAAATTCAAAGTTATTTTAGATTCCCTTGAAGTGGGCTGATGTCTCTAATTGGCTCTATTTTCAATGCAATTTTTTTTTTGCTAAGCTTTACCCTAACATGTACTTTTGGTACTCTACAGATCTGCTGTCAAATCATAATGTCACATTGTGCAAGCCCAGTTACATTTTTTGAACAGGTAGTGAAACTATAACAGAAAAAGATGAATAAAATTTGGCTTCTATTACAACTGCACACAATTTTCATTGAATGGATTTATGTGAGATTGTACTCCTTTTGTGAATGACTAAGTGATTTTCTTTTAGCTTGCTTATAAAACAATTGTGCCTCTTTTTCATATTTGTTCTCTGTGCAACTTGTAAATAATGTAATGTTTAATATTTTATAGACATATTTCAGTTTTAATACTATTTACATAGTTCCCTTTTTCATTTTTCTTTTTGTAAATTATTTCTTGGTCAATTTGTTTTCCTGCAAAGTTGTAAAAAATTTGCTATCTATATTTCTATCCTATCTATCTTTTCCCCCATTTCATTTTGGCCTTTCTGATAAATGTGTATGTTTGATGGTGTAACCATGGTGATCAAGGATAGGAAGCCTCTGTTAGATTCCAGTTGCAAAGGATTATTGGAAATTTGAGACAGCTGTTAAAGTCATCTAAGCAGATATTAGGATCAGAAGGCAATACTAATTCCATCTTCATATTCATATATGGAATTTGGACATTTCTCCATAATGCTACATATTTCCTACAATGTGTTTATTCTAATTATTAAAACAAATCAAAGGTACTCTTAGGCCTATTTTTCTCATAGAACTCTGTTTTTCTCAGTTCATGCTCCAGAATTGGGAATGAGTCAGAACATGCTATCCTAAATCTGATGCAAGGTGGGTCTGGGTACTTCCAGAGCTATAAATTTGGTAATTATGTAGGTTGGAAAGGACTTTTCATACTGTAGCTTCTCTGATAATTTATCAACTATTTTTTTCAAGTTCAGGACATTCTGTACTTAAAAGATACATTCATAAATGTTTTTCCAAATTTCTTTCAAATAATAATGGATATCTCATAGCTTCTCTTAGTAATCCATTCTAGGGCCGAGCTGCTCTTAAACTTGAGTTCTTTCTAGCTTCACCTTACTGTGTGGTAGGTTGTTTACCATTCCACTCAGAATTTGTTTTGAAGGCCTTTTGGAACAGAGGTAGCAGATCTTAAACCAGTATTCAGCTCATATCTTATTAGAGCAATATTGCTGCACATTGTCATGCTTGTTTTAAAAAAAGCTGACTTATGACTATATAATTCAAAATGCCATGGTTAATAAGTTGAGGTGGGTGTATATTGAGTGCTTTTTAAAATTACTGTTTGCATACTTCCTGAGTTGTAGGTTTAGTGAGCTAAAATATGTGCTATAAACTTGAAAGAGTTGTTTCAGTTAATTATGTTTCTGTAAACAATGATTTCTGCTCACGGTGATATTCATTAAATGAATGGAATTGCATTTACCAGTAAGTATGGCAAGCGGTTTATCTCCAAGTGGATGTGTACCGGATTGTACCTTAAAACACATTTGTTTTTGTTTAGCTTGAAAAAAATGTGGGCAGAAGGCATAACATAAATCAGGAATTGGTCTTTCTATACCGTTCTTAATTTATTCTTGAAACTTAGTTTTAGAAGCTATTGCATGAAAACTGTGAAGAGATCTTTAAAATAATAAGAAAAATTAAATGTTCATGTATCTATAGTGGCACACTTGTTAGAATGCAATATTGCAGGCTAACTCTGCCCACAGCCAAGAGTTCAATCCTGACTGACTCAAGGTTGATTCAGCCTTCTATTCTTCCAAGGTTGGTAAAATGAAGACCCAGATTGTTGGGGGGCAATATGCTGACATTGTAAACTGCTCAGAGAGTGCTCTACGCACTATGGTGTGATATATAACTCTATTGCTATTGCTATCTTATTAGGTATTATTATTCAGCTTAGTTTTACAAGCATTAAAGAGTTAACATTTTCTTTAAATATAAAACCATGGAATAAAATGTGCAATTTATTAATTAAGAAAGTGTATCTTATGTACTTGCTGTATTATAAACTTGTTTTTAATTTGTTTTAAATTAAAATTGTACAATTTGCACTGTAGTTATGTTTTTACTATGTGGACCATTATCTTGGATGATGAAGTGAAATACAAGAAAAACCTGCTTTCCCTAATGCAGCCATCTCCCTCCCTCTGCTTTCTCATAGTTAATCAGCTTGGAAAAAAATTAACTTTCCGTTTGTGATTTTTATACAAATATTCAGCACAGGCGAGATGAATGTCACCAATGTCATTAATTTCATTGGTATTATGTGAAATATATCATCTTAGCTTGTATTGTTCTTACATAGATCTTACAGTGGTGTCCAAAATCACAAAAGGAAGTATTTTCTAAACATTTTATTAGATAATTGCTTGAAAATTCTAATTAAATCCAGCATTTGAAAGAGAGGTAAAATAAGGGTGGGTTCAAATGTAGTACTGTGACCCGTCAAAACCGCGGTCCACTAAAGCGCGCCCGATTAAAGCGCGTACCTGACATCATCATCAGCGCGACAAATACGACCGCGGAGAAAAAAGGGCGCTTTAAAAAGCGCTTTTAAAGCAAGCCGATTCACATAAAGGTAAGGGTTAGGGTTAGGTTAAGGATTAGGTTAAGGGTTAGCGTTAGGTTTAGCGTTAGGTTAAGGGTTAGGTATAGGGTTAGGTTTAGGGTTAGGTTAAGGGTTAGGCTTAGGGTTAGGTTTAGGGTTAGGTTTGGGGGGGTTAGGTTTAGATTTACGCGTTAATTTTAAGTTTACCGTTCAAGCGTGCTGTTTTCGTCGCGCTGTGATGACATCACGTACGCACTTTCGGCGAGCGCGCTTTAGTCTACCGCGGTTTTGTGGTGGAACCATGTAGTACATTTGAAAAATAAACGTGTAGAATTCTTGTTTATTTTCTGTTTATTCCTTTGTTTCCAAAAAGCAGTAATTAGTTGGTTGCTTAAGACAAGTTAAATAACTTACTGTAGTATAGACTTTGGCAACATCTGATTTCTATTTCCACAACCCAAGTCATTAAAACATATGGAACTTTTAAAGATTGACTTGGTGTTAACTTAAAACAAGCTCACACTAAATGCTGATAAGCAATTTTAATGTTAACAGTGAAGTTCAACTATTTAAATTTTATTGCAGACTTAACATCACAAACATAAATAATTAAGAAGTGCCACCCTATGAATCAGATCAAAGACCATATAATCTAGCATCCTGTTTCCCACAGTGGCCAAATATATTTTCTAGGAAGCTTACAAACAGAGCATGAAAGCAACTGCCAAGGTTCCCAAAGAATTAGTATTCACTTATATTTTGCTTCTGAAATTGATGTTTTGTGAAGTTGTAGTGTTGTTCAGGCCTTTATTCAAAAATAATGGGACTTTTTAAATATATAACTGAATAACTCAGCAAGCATGAGGTTCTGTTTGTACAAATGATGTTTTTGCAATATAGCTCTTATTAAGTGAATAGCAAGTATGAATAAATGTGCAGAAAATTCTTATAATTCATAAAATACTTCATGGCTAAATTTAAAATTTATCCTGAAATAACTGAAATAGATATGAGAAACGTTGCTTGGGACAACTTGAAGAACTGAGGACTTCCATTGGTTAGGACTTCTGGCAATTATGTACCCAAAAATCTGATTGGGGAAGGCTTGATTGCCATGTCAGGTTATCCAAGTCTGCTTTTGGTTTCTGTATTACTTCTAACACAACATTTTATGATGAATGCTGGTTATAGAAGAAATAAGATAATATTATCAATGTGTTCAGTTGACAGTAGAATGCATTGCATTTTGTTTAAAA